TATTGAATCTGTACTTCCATGGTCAGCCATGTGAGTTACCACCTGAAACCTGCTGGGTGAGAAGTTTTGGGAGTGGCTGTCTCAACATGTCTGGATGGAGCCATTCTTGGGAAAGGCCAGTGTATCCATGTAGCATAGAAATCTCAGTTGGGAGTCCAGTTCAATTAAGTGCCAAGAACTCACAGTGGGACTGGGAGAAAACAGCTGCCTGCTACTAATGGTCTTGCAGTAGTGGAGCATATTATAGATGCAACCCAGCACGCACAGATAAACACAGATATAAATTAGACAGGGACGCTTAAGTTTATTTAGCAAGTTGCTGCTCCTGGTTTAGCAGCATCAGAGGGAGATCAGCCTTCTTGTTATTTATTGCCCAACTTCGTTCAAGCCCAGGTGTGGGAATTAGGAAGCTATCAGTGCCATCTAAAAGCCTACAGCAAAGAATAGGTAGATTATACACATAAAAATAATGTCGGATTTTTGTCTTTGCATGAAATGTTGTTCTGTTGCCAGGTGAATCATGCACACTCAGAGCACCTAGCGTAAAACAGTGGATTCACAAAACACCGACTCCCTTAAATGGACAAAAAGTAAAAACTCAAAAAGTAGTTTTATCTTAAGTTTCAACTTCATTGGCTGCATTTAAATAGCAAAACAAACTAAAAAAAAAATTCCAGTTTAGCTTGGTCAATTATGCAAACCCAGAAAATTCAGCCTAGCTAATTCTGCCTGTGGTCCAGCATAATATATGTGTAGCCTATCATTTACTGAATAAATCTTATCTTCTGGGTTTGCAGACCATACTGATCTACAAACTAATCACCAGTCTTTTTTCACACAGTGCACTGAGCTAAAATGTGGTTGGCTGTCTTGTGGTTCCATGGGTGATTCGAACAGTCACTACTTAACTTACATCACTTTGAATAAAGATTTAGGGTCCTCTGGAAACTCTTGATCTTATGATGTTCTTTGAATAATCATAAAATGAAGACTTTTCAGAGGACCTTGTATCTTTTTTAATTAACAAAGGACAGAAGTCCTATTAAACATACAAAGGATCGCTGCTGTATGTCCCAATTCCAGGTGTAATAAATCAGAAATACAAAGCCCCATATTAAAGACTACTTTTCTGAGGAGCGCAGCCTTAATTTGAAGTTCCTTGTTTGTCTCTCATCGGTTATGCCTTTCGCCCGAAGAAAAGTTCCTATCAGCAGATTTCTTGAGCCAGTATTTACACTGTTGGAAAAAGAATTCCCATTAAGGAAAAAATTGCCTGATGATAAGAGAGGAAACTGAGGAGTAGCTGAAAGAAATAATTCACAGCAATTAATTAATCCAGTATAGAGGATTAATCCTCTATTGGAAAATCACTACCGTTTCATTCTGAGGACACCCTTAGGCACGGTTTGTTTACCTGGGCATAAATCCCAGTGACACTAATTGAACTTACTCTTGAATAAACTTGCATAACATTGTGCTAATAATCCTCCAATGACCTCTGTGAAGCCTAGATTTCTGTCTTCCCTTTTGAAATAGGGTTACAAGCCTTTCATTTTAAATATTGTATATGACTGTTTTAATATACAGGATGCTGTAGCTGCTCTCTTATGCACGCTAATGTTGATGGACTAAGAAAGTGGTGTTTATTCCTACTTAAAATACACACATATATTTCTTGATCGAGTGAGGAACAAGGCTGTCTCTCGTCCTCGGCTTCTGGTTTGGATATATCCACTCCTGTTTTGTCTGTTCGATTTTGCCTCTCCTGCTTAACAGATGGAAGGGATGAAAGAATTGATGGGAAAGAAATATATGCAGAAGCCATTCTGACTTTCTTATTTCAGACTGAATCTGGGCATATTCCTACATACAGGGTGTAACAAAAATCAGGCCCAGAGACAATTTATTATACAAATTACATTAAATGCTCAAATTGGTTGCTACTTCCTTCTAAGTGCTTCCTTATTCCTGTGACGCATGACCTTCGAACATTCCTAAGTACAGTAACCTTCTATCTGAAAAAGAAATTAATAAAACATATGGTGATTGGCCTATAGGGCCTGACTTTTGGAACATCCTGTTTATATGTGGATTTCTTAGTTTGAATCCAAACACTAACTGAGTATAATCCTGCATAGCTTTCCCAAGAACTGGTAGTTACTGATGGGTCCTCCTGTAACAGATAACCCCAATGCCCCCAACACCCTGATAACTAAGTGGAAAAAAATGATCCCATTCATATTAGGAGATGCAGGCTTTTGCTCTCTCCTTGGCCTCAAGTCTTGTACGTACAGGGACTGCAGCTATTGTGAAATCCTGTTTGGCATTCTCCTGAAGTCCTGAAATATAATTCCCATTATCTCCAGTCAGTACCACCTTTGGGAGCTATAAGAAAGCATCTTTAGACACCAAAGGATTCAGGAATGGAGTGCTAAAGGACCATATATTTATGGATTTATACAACAGATTGCATACCAGCGGATCACAAAAGGTAAACAGACTTGGCTGTTGTCAGAAATTGGATGGGAAGCCACCAGTGAAATCCTATGCTGGAGTGAAAAGCTTAAAAAAAATCACTGAAGAAGATACGACTGAGCTGCTGCCTAAAAACCTACATCAATGTGTCCATGGAGTTTCTTGATGGTAACTAACCAAGATACATTAGTTCTTTTGACCAAGTTGGAAGTAGAGCATTTGATCCAACACCAGCTTTGTTGTAATTCATCACTGTGAGCGAATAAGAATTAAATATTTGAGGAATGGATATATTCTCCGAATTTCCACAAGTGCCTCAAACAGAGCTAATAAGGGGATACAGATTCATAGCTTTAAGCCTGCTTTGAAGAGCATGGCAGGCATGCAACATGCTGGGCTAGTCTAAAATAAAGATAAGTAGACAGTTATGCAACATGTTGTGGGAACCCATCTGCTCTCAGTACAGAGATGCAAAAGTGTGGCTAGGAAGGCACAGATGGCCCCCCAATATCCCTTTTGGGCCCTACCTGTGGCAGGTGGATTTCAAAACTCCTGAACTCTGGCTGAGAATGTGCCCTGGTCCCAACCAGCAATCTGTAACATGTCATGCTAAAAATGGGTATCAAATTTCCATCCTTGCGCTCTACGCTGGAAACAGTTAATCCAGGGAACAAGAATCTAAGAGCTCTGATTGCCAGTACTGTATTTGTTACATTGAGGTTACAAGTGCAAGAATTTCAGCAAGCACTCTGCTTTCACACATGACGTCCATATATGTATGTATCGGCAATTTAAGGCAGCAAAACTCTTCCATTTCTTTGCTCTTTTTCAAAGCGGATCTTGCATGTTTCCTCTTTTGATAACTTTTATAAGTTTGGGAAGAAACTCTCACACTGAGTACCTGTCATAGGATGTTATGTGAACCAGCCAAACACATTAAGACTTAATGCAATTTGTTTTGGACACAGCATATTTTTAAAATATGGCTTTGAGCGAGTAACGTCTGAAGGAGAGATCTCAGACAGTATCCAGCTCTCAGTTTCTACCTGTTTTCATTTAGAGCTTTATCAAGAGGCTTAGTTTGCACAGCACCTTACACCATCATGCAACTTACACCGTTTTTCTTCCAATTGTACAAATCTTTGGTCCAAGTTTAGCCTGTTCATGTGATCTGTAAATCATGTCTTGTGGCTTCATATTGTGAGGACTGTGGCTAAGAGTCACACAACTGCATGACATGTGAACCCCACTGCTTAAAATCGATATCTGCACTCAGGTATGCATTTTTGTCAGTTGTCTAATGCAACTGGCCGATTCTCACAAGGGTGTTTGTTGCTCTCTCCCTAATGTATTCCATGGAACCAGCGATTGCTGCTTGCAAACATGCTCACAGGCATGTTATCAGCATATTGTGAGAATTCAGCCAAGTGCTGCTTAGCCAACAAACCAGGCTGAGCTTCTCGCGTAAACACAGCCCTGGACACTGCAGGAGGAACGGAGGGAGCTCCGATGCACACCTTCCGCCGCGGCCAAAGCCTCTTAAAACATCAAAGAGGCAACTCCCCGCCTTTCAGGTGGTGCTGGAAAGAGCCAGCCACTCAGCCCGCCTCCCCCGCCTTTTCAACCAATCAGGAGGCACGGCCCGGGCATTGGCGTCCGTGACGTGCCTTCCCGGGGAATCTGCGAAGCCGGAGGAGCTGCTCCAGCTCGCGCTTGCGTGCAGTCGCGCCTCGGTGGAAGAGCGGAGAAGAGCGAGGAGGGCTGGCTGGCTGGCGGGGGGGGGACGGGCAGGCGGCAGCCGCGGGAGGGGGGGTGCTAGCTGTGGGATCAGCACGCCGGAAGGCTGTGCTGCGGGGGTGGGTTTCCTTTGTATTTGGTTCCCTCCCTTTGGGGAGGAAGGAATGGGCATTTTATCTGGAAAAAAAAAAAAGATCTGGTGTCTGTGAATAAAAGCACCGGTGATCATCTTCCTTTCCGCCAGCTCGCCTTGATGCATTCAGTGCAGTTGCTTTTTGAATAGAGCTTTTGGGGGTTTTTTTTTAATTGACTACGCGGTCTTCGCTTTTTACTGGAACGCGCATTCTTTCTTTTTCCTCTTAGAGCGAGGCGCAGACTGGGTAGCTCTCCCTCTTCCCCCCCCCCTCGGTTTTTGGCAAAATCG